AAAGTCCATGAGACTTTTATCTCCAGTTAACTATTTAGAAAAAGCTAGAAGTGGCCCTGTGGCTCAAGTAGTAGAGCGCTAGCCTTGAGCACAGAGAAGCTCGGGTACAGCGTCCAGGCCCTGAGTTCAAGCCCCAGGACCAGCAAAAAGGTACCAGGCAACTAAAAACTGCAAAATCTAGGACTTGGCATGGAACTCATTGGAACACTGAGTATACCTAGACTCAATCCCTAGTGCACACACTACATGCACATACATACATATACGCATGTGTGCGCGCGCACACACACACACACACATACACACACACACACACACACACACACACACACAAAGAAAAAAAGAAATTTGCCACTAGGCTACCCACACTAACAGAAATATTAGACTGAGTTCTTATGATAGAAAAAAATAATAATTCCCAGGGAAATACAAGAGAGTATAATGAAAACAGGAAAGACAAAACTGCTGTTTATAGTAAGTATTGACAAAATGATAATACTTCAAAATAATAATGGCAATATCTCATAGGATATGATATATACATTGATTTAAAATACGTGTCAAAAGAATACAAATGGAGGCAGGAGGGTTAAATGAGCTAAATGTTCTAAATTCCAGCATTTCAAGAAAATAATAAACACAATACTTTATATTTTAACTTTTCAAGAATAATTGCAACAGCTAATAGTTACCTAAAGAGCAATAAAATAAAGCCAAACATGGTGGAACACACCTATAATCCCAGCTACTCCAGAGGCAGAGACAGGAGGATGCCAGTCTGAGACCAATTCAGGCAAAATAGTTACTGAGATCCTATCTCATAACGAGGCAGGCATGGTTAGTCACACCTGTATTCCATTTGGGAGTTGAAGGTAGGAGGACTGAAGTTCAGCCCAGGCCAAACTGCAAGACCCTTTCTGATAAACAAACTAACAGGAAAAGGAATGAGGGTGTGGTTCAAGTGGTAGAGTGTCTGCCTAGCAGGTGGGAAGCCTTGAGTTCAATCCTAGTACCATACAAAAAATGAACTGAAAAAATAACAATAAAATTAAGTTAATGGAGATGAAAACATAATAGAATTATTTTAATATTCCCAAAGAACAAAGGAAGAAAACACAGTATGTAGCAAATGAACCAAATAAGAAACAATTATTAAGATGAGAAATATAAACCAAACCAGTAAATTCATTAAATGTAAAAAGACTCAAAAATGCAATTAGGCAACTATCATTGTCAGTCTAGATTTTAAAAACAACTACATGATGCTTTCAAGAGATACACCTTACGTATAGTCATAGAGAGTGAAAATAAAAGAGAAGGAAAAGCAGTTGCTACAGTAACACCATACACAATGATTTAGGAATTAAGCTCACAGGAACATACTACAATATGTCTGTATGCATGCAATAAAAATAGCCTTAATAATACAATAAAAATAATCTTAACATATACATGTAAAAATTAGGGGGAAAAAAACAGGGAGAAATAGGCAAATGTAATAGTTATCCCTGAGCTAGTTTTCCTTTCATGTTTTCAGTTGCCCATGGTAAACTATGATCAAAATATACCAAATGGAATTCAAGTTTCAAATTACATGCCATACTGCATTGTACAATGAAGTCTTGTGCCACACCATCCCCCCTGGGACATTAATCATATCATTGTCTAGCGTATCCACATTTTATATGCTATCTATCCAATAGTGTGTAGTAGCTAACTGAGTTACTAGACTATGTCACAGAAGGCAGGGGTTGTGTTCAAGTAATCCATATTTTACGTAGTCACAGCCCCAAGGTACAAGAGCAGTCATGTTGACAATTCAGACATGCCACAGATAAAGTATATCCTCTAAGTAAAAAAGTAACAAGGAAAGAAAAATCATACGACTAAGTCACTAAGATCCACAGTAAAGAATAAATTTTTCATCTATTAATTTGTTCTATTTTACTATTAGTAATTAGTATTGTATATAAATTAAACTTACAGTAAATGTTACCATACATATGTATGTAAGGGATAATAAGTGACTATTTGGCTCAATTCTATCCTGGTTTAAATATTCCTTAGGAGGTCCTGAAATATACCCATCATGGATAAGGAGGGACTACTACATACAATCACATTTCTTTCGTCAGCCAGTAGAATAGAAAAAAACTTACTAAGAATTTTAAAAAGTTGAATGACATAATTATGATCTTATCCCTGTGATATGTATAGATAATCTGTGGCAATACATACATTCCTCGGAATAATATGCTGGGTTATAATGTAGACCTCAGCAAATCAAGAAAATGAAGCAAATGAGTAAAGCCAGTCTCAGCCTAGATATCAACAAGAAAAACATATATGCAATGTCTCATCTGCTTATAAATTAATCACACACTTCAAAATAGCCCTAGTGATGAACCTGTTTAGTAGCAAAAATATTAGAAAATATTTTGAACAAAATGGCAAAGAAAATTTAATTCATTAATGTGAAGCTCAATTAAAGCAAAAAGGAGAAAATAGTCTTAAATGTATATTTTTTAAAATGAGACTTCAAATTTATGACCTAACAGTCCACTTCAATAAACTAGAAAAAGAACAGCAAATTGATCTCAAAGGAAGAAAAGTAATTAATGCTAATAAGATGACTTGAACTTCAAAGAAAATTAGCAAAGACAAAATTGGTTCTTCAATGAGGGGAATAAAGTTGATAAATCCCTAGCAAACTATGCAGACATACATACACCACACAATTACAATGACTGAGATAGGAAAAGTCTTTATAGATGCCAAAAAGTAGTAAAATTTTTATTATAAAATTTTAGACCAATGTTGTATAGAATTTTAAGTGAATTGAACAAATTTCTTGGAGAATACAACTTATAAAACAAATAGGATAAGTTCCTCTATTAAATCTAAATGTTACTAAATCCTTGCCAATACGTACTAAGGAAGAACAACGGAGTGAGAGAGATAGAGAGAGGGACTGACATTAAACAATGGTACAAGAAAATTAGTGGAGAAAGATAGGTTTTCTCAACATACAGGGTACTGGAAACACTGAGCATTCATATGGAAAAAGAAAAAGACTTACCTTATATCATATACAATATTTACACCTAAATGTAAAGAGCTAAAAGTATAAAACTTACAAAACAAATATAAAAGAAACTTTTTTGAGAACTTGGGCAAAAACTTTTACATAGGACACAAAACGCACAAATAATTTTTAGAAGAAATTGATTTTTTTAAGTATGTCATCAAAATGTAGCATACTTGTTCTTTAAAGGTTAAGAAAATGAAAAGAAGTAGAAGAAGTATGGCTCAAGTGGTAGAGTGCCACCCTTGAGTGAAAAAGCCAAGCAAGAATGAAAGTCCCTGAGTTCTAGCCCCAGTACCAAGAAAGAAAGAAAAAAAGAAAGAAAGCAAGGAAGCAAGAAGGAAAGGAAGGAAGGAAGGAAGGAAGGAAGGAAGGGAGGGAGGGAGGGAGGGAGGGAGGGAAAGAAAGAAAGAAAGAGGAAAAGATAACATAGGAAATAAAAAAAGATAGGTCACAGATTGGGAGAAAATGTTCATAAGATGCATAGCACATGAAAAACTTGCGTCATATGTAATAAAAACAAACAACAATAAAAAAAAGACAACACAAATTTTAAATGGGCAAAAGGTTTGAACAGACCGCTTAAGCGTATTTGAAAATGCTCGGTATTTAGTGTCATCAGTCACCAGAGAAATCGGAACTACAATAAGATACCGCTCTGTTGCTACGAAGGGAGTAATTAATAAAAAGCAGTTAACAAAGGAAATGAACAGCTATTTCAAGTAAGGATGCACAACAACTGGGGTTCTCATCATTGTTAACGGGAATGTAAAATGGCAGCGCTATTGGGAAACGTTGGGCAATTTCTTTTTTTTTTTTTTTTCGTTGGGCAATTTCTTAGAGAACTGAACATACACTGTCACACAGCTCAGCACCCCCACTCCCAGATATTCGTCCAGGACAAAAGAAAACACGTAACCCGCGCTGGTGGCTCGCGCCTGGAATCCTGCAACTCAGGAGGCTGAGATCTGAGGATGGAGAGTCAGAGCCAGTTTAGGCAAGGAAGTCTGTAGGACTCATCTCCAATTGACGACCAAAACTCCGCCAGTGGAGCTCAAGTGGTAGGAAGTAACTCAGGTGGTGGAGCGTTCTGGCGCGAGCGCACACACGCACACACACACGTATGATTCCATTTTTACTCATACACACACACACACACACATCTCTTCATGCGGCCTGAAGTATCACGTTAGCAGGGCGTCAAGACGTGCTGGACGGGTGGAGAAATCACTGCAGAGAGGATAACGCGCACCACACAGACTCCCAGAAGATGAAAGGCCACGCGGCACCCAGGAGCCCGAATCCACCGCAACGCCCGCCAAAGGGAGGGGGGTGGGCGCCCCGCCTTCCCCGAGCCCAGCGCCTCCATAAAACCGGGACCCCACCCAGGACTCCAAGGACAGGTGAACGACTGGGCCGCAAAAAGGCGTGAGGCGCCCCAGCCTTCCCCTTCCAGAAATCAAACCCCTCGGAGCCCCGCGGGCGGCCCCGTTGGAGCGGCCTTGCAAGGTGCGGCGCGGGCCGGGCGGGGTGGGCGTGGGCCGGGCGTGGCGGCCCCCCCACTCCCGCCGCGGCCTCCCCCCCACTCCCACCGCGGCCTCCCCCCCACTCCCGCCGCGGCCTCCCCCCCACTCCCGCCGCGGCCTCCCCCCACTCCCGCCGCGGCCTCCCCCCCACTCCCGCCGCGGCCTCCCCCCCACTCCCGCCGCGGCCTCCCCCCCCACTCCCGCCGCGGCCTCCCCCCCCCCACTCCCGCCGCGGCCTCCGCCCACTCCCGCCGCGGCCTCCGCCCACTCCCGCCGCGGCCTCCCCCCCCACTCCCGCCGCGGCCTCCCCCCCCACTCCCGCCGCGGCCTCCCCCCCCACTCCCGCCGCGGCCTCCCCCCACTCCCGCCGCGGCCTCCGCCTCACTCACCCAGGCTTGCCGTTCCAGCTGCGCGTACAGACTGGAGCCCTTCAGCTTCTGGACGACGTGGGCGATAATGAGCGACAGATCGGACTCCTCCGGCGGCATCGCCCCGGCCCCAGGCCGCCCCGCCGCGGGGACAGGCCGCCGGCACCGAGAGAACCTGCCACCGCCTCCCGCTGCTCCCGGATTCCGCCAGCGGGCGTTGCTAGGCAACGGCCCGGCTCTGTGTCCGTCCTTCTTGTGTCCCCTCCGCGTCCGCAGGCCGCAGCGCTTGAGTTCCGCCTGCAGAAGGAAAAAATATAAAGACCGGTGGACTTCATTTCGTTCCGTTGTTCCTGGACAGTTTGATTTGAAAAACGAGAACAAAAGCTCATTTCTTCAGAGCTGCAAAGTCTTCTACGCACCCGGAGAACCCAGAGAGTTGGGTGGTTTTTGACTTGTATTTTCCTGTACATTTCCTTTTCACCTCTCCATCTCTGCAGAAATAGGGCGGGAGGAGCTGTGGAGGAGCTGTGGCCTTCCTAGACATGGGGATGCACTGGGTTCAGTTCCTAGGACTGCTAAATAATCTTTTAAATAATTTTTTGAAAAACTGGGCTGTTGAGTGCAATGATACTGAAAAGTACATCCAAGAAATATCAGGCTCTGAGAGTAACTGTGTACTTTTGGAAGGACTTTGATTTCAGGCCTTGCATGTCTGCCCTTGTAAAATAAGCCCGCTTCACAGGATTCTGTGGCAATTAATGATACAAAAACTGTGAGGCTGTGAGGCACCGGTGATTTAACCTGTAATACTAGCTACTCAGGAGGCTGAGACAGGAGGATCATAGTTCAAAGCCAGGTCGGGGAGGAAAATCTGTGAGACTCCTATCTCACCAGTACACTAGCAAAAAGCTAGAAGTGGAGCGGTGGATCTACTGGTAGAGCTCTAGCCTTGAGCAAAAGAGCTCAGGGACAGTGCCCAGGCCATAAATTCAAGTCCCAGGACACACACACACACACACACACACACACACGCACACACACACACACACACAATTGTGATGCTGCCTAGCACTGAATGTAACATTCAATTGTATTTCATTTTCTCTGCTTCCATCCTTTGCAGTCATGCCCTGGAACGCAATATACAATGTCTTCTCATCTAAAGCTACTTATTAACCAAGAAACAGAGCAGCTTTCACAAAGCGTCCTCAATTAAAGGATAAATAAGACACTGTCGTAGTTTTCAAGGAATTTACTATCTAGATTTCTCCATATATTCATTCATTGGATCCTTTAGTATTCAACCTACAAAGCACTTACACCCAAAGAAATGCGTGAGCTCAAAGAGTTAATAAAATGTGGTTCTTGTGTCAAGAAATTATATGAAATGTTTTTCAGAATTAAAAGTAACTAACAACAAATTCCAAAGATGGAATTTCCAGGAAGATGGCTAAGGAATAATGCACACCATATAATAATCTTACCAAAATAATCAAGAATTTTTCAGTTGTGTGTGTGTACATGCATTTCAAGCAAAGCAAAAGTAGCATTTCAAGAAAACAGAGCAAGACTGCTGTTAATGCTACTCTAGACTAACTGTATCAAACTTTAATGTGCTAAGGAATAATCATAAAAGAACTTGTTAAATCAAATGTTCTGATATAGTACATCTCTGGTAGCTAATAAATTTATTATTGACGGGTTTCAGAAGATTGTGATTCTGATGGTTCAAAGGATACGTTGTGAATGGCTAAGGAGAGGAACAGGTAAACAACAAGAATTCAAAAGAATTGGCCCCTGGCTTCTATATACCATAGGTTGGCATTCCTCACACCATCATTTGGGTGATAATAAATAACAGACTAAATAATCCATTTGGTCAAAAGTGTTTTTTATTAAACCAACATTAGAAATAAATAATGCACACATATTGTTCCTTTATGAAATATTCTGCCACAACTCAGAATTCAAACTTGTAGAATAGTAGATCTTGTCAACTCTTTGTAGTCCTACCATAGCACCTCCCTATCTATCCATGGATCTCCAACACAACCTCACTTGGAACAATAAAAACTAGAATGAATGTTTGTTTGAGACTGTGAATGTGTGACCAAAGAAATAAATGTGCTTACATAAGGTTAAGAAGGATCATAGAACATAAAAGGAAAGAAGATAGAGCTGTGGCATGGAAGAAAAAGTAAGGTGTCTAAATTCAGAAAATATTGTATCTCCTTCCTCTCAAACCCTAGGAACTATAAGAGTCTCTTCTAAAACAAGAGGGTAAAATACCAACCAGGGTGGAATATTGTGAGGAATAAATGTACCTAATATTAAAATGCTTATAAACATAAATAAAATATTGGAACTGAGGTAAGTAAATAATTCCCAGTAGTATTGAAGTAAGGTAGTAAGAAGTAAATATAGTGATATAAATAGTGCCCAGAACAATTTTCATAGATAGGGCTTTAAATCTTTTAGGGGGACAGAGCTGTTCTGGAGTTTAAACTCCAGGCCTAATTCTTGCTAGGCAGGCTCTGCCACTGAGTCCTTTTTCTGCTCTGGTTATTTTTGAGATGGGGTATTGCTTCTTGCTTGAGCGTGTGCCTGATCTAGGATCCTGGCTTTTTGTTATAGAAGGAATGACAAGTGCATGCCACTATGTCCAGCTTCTATCAGTGAGGTGAGGTCTTCCTACCTAAACTGACCGAGAACCAGGATCCTCTAAATCTCAGCCTCTAGTTACAATGACAGCTGTGCTCCACTGTGTCCAGCTGTGGGCTGAGAATTTTTCTGCCCAGGCTGTCTTCAGACCCAATCCTCCCATTCTTAGCCTCCTAAGTAACTAGAATTATAGCAGTGAGCCACCAGTACCCATCTTTTAAATCTTTTTTTTTATTGTGAAAATACTGTACAGAGGGGTTACAATTACCTGGGCAAGATAATGAGTACATTTCTTATCAAGCATTGTAGCCTCCTCCTTTGTTTCCCCTTCCCATCCCTTCCCATCCTCCCCCTGCCCCCCCCCACCCAATCCTCCCCGCTACCCGCCCCCCACCAAAGTTGTAAAGTTCATTTTTCAACATAACGACTTGTACATCTCATTGTTGCAATGGGTCCACATGTATCCCTATTTAAGGATTTGTTTTTCCCCTTCCCCTCCACAAATTATACCGACATCAAATACAGTGAAAGCAGGGGTTATACTGTGGGGGAGGGACATACAAAGCAACAAAGAAATAATCTTATAACTGTGTTAGAAACAATCGCATGAAAGAAAAAAAACATTTGAATGCATATCTTAGGGCTCATTTCCCTAACATCACCTTATCTGACCTTTTCTGCTTGACTCAGACATATACTAGATATTGTAAATAAGGAAAACCATGGGACCTATGTTTCTTTGGGCCTGGCTTACTTCACTTAATATCATTTTTTCCAAGCTTTTCCATTTCCTAACAAATGGGGCAATGTCATTCTTTTTGATGGAGGCATAGAATTTATTTTATTTTATTTTATTTTTGTCCTGGAGTTTGAACTCTGGACCTGGGAGCTGTCCCTGAGTTCTTCAGCTCAAGGCTAGTGCTGTACCATGTGAGCCACAGAGCCACTTCTGGTTTTCTGATGCTTAATTGGGGATAAGAGTCTCACAGTCTTTCCTGCACAGGCTAGTTTTGAACCACAATTCTCAGATCTCAGCCTCCTGAGCAGCTAGGATTACAGGTGTAAGCCATCAGCACCCAGCTTTTAAAATCATTTTTAAGAGAAGATGAATTAATGTCTTAAAGCAACATGAATAATTCTGAAAGCATAGTCAAGCCAAAACAATCCCCTAATGCTAAATGTTAAAAATGTATCTTGCATACATAGAAGCAGGTGTGTTAGAGTGTAATTCAATTCCAGAATGTCCTCTGCTCTCCTTTTCCAATTTGATTTGGCAAGACCTTTTGGAACACCTGCTCTAGGCAAGGAATGGCAAAGAATACAAAGATGATTCAAAAGAAAATGATCCCTCCTCTAAAGGAATCCTCAGTCCCAAACAGATGATGCAGCCAGTACACAGGGAGTCCCGTCAGTCTCCTACCCAGAAATTCTGTTACTTAAAAGTCATTGTTCTGAGTTCTCTGCTTCACACATCTTCAGTCCCTCCAGCCTCCATGGTATTCTGCCTGCCACATGTTCTGAGGCCACCGTTGAGAGCACTGTTTCTTAGTGCTCTCCACACAGCAAATTTTCAAAGAAGCTTAAACCCTAAGGTTTACAAAAGGCCTTCATAAAGGAAGAGACTCTTCAGATTCTGCTTGTCACCTCCTTGGGCAAACAGAATTATGTCTCATGCCTGAATCCAGGCTGAGCTCCAACCTGTGTATCAGGCAATTGAATAGAACTAGGGAAGATTTTCGGGGGGGGGGGGGGAGTGGGGGCTGGTCCTGGGACTTGAATTCAGGGCCTGAATGTTGTCCTAGAGCCTCTCTGTGCTCAAGGCTAGCACTCTACTGCTTGAACCACAGCGCCATTTCTGGCTTTTCCTGAGCAGTTTACTGGAGATAAGAGTCTCATGGACTTTCCAGCCTGGCCTAGTTTTGCACCATGATCCTCAGATCTCAGCTTCCTGAGTAGCTAGCATTATAAAGGTAAGCCACTGGTGCCTGGCTGGATTTTTATACAGGAATTATACAATTTTATAGGAATGAGGAGGACTGTGCTATGGGCTCTATGGGTAATCTGAAGTGCTCTATGAGTAATCTCATGTAAACTCTGTGCCACATGAAAAATTTAGGGAAGACTACCAAGCAAACAGTAATTTGAGACATAGGGTATTTGTTATTACCCAAGGTTGGGTCCGTGTCTCTACAAAGGCATCAAGGATCTAAGCTCTTAATTCAAATGGTGTAACTCCTTAGAAAAAGTCACAGTCCAATCAAATGAATATCAGGAAGTTGCTACTTGAGATGTAAAAGGGGAAGATGAGGAAGAGGAGATAGATGAATGAAGAGCGAAAGAGGGGGGATGCAGTCATAATATTCATACTATGTGTTACAGATGGCTCAGGAGATGGGGGAGTCACATCAGGAAACTATCTTGAAAGGAACTTGCTGGGGAAGACACTTCTGCAGAAGTGTGAGCCAACAGCCAAAAATCTGGCAAGCAAGCACACAGAGCAGGCAGACTGCTCTCTGTTCATCCCTAATGCAGCAGACCCCACCCCTCTGCTCCAATTGGCCA